TCAGTGAGCCCATTGTGACTGTTTTGAACCTCATTTCTTCATTCAAGTCTGAGAGTCTTTGTATTTGTGCGTCCAGGACTTTTGCTTGTACCAGAAGGGCTTCTCTTTCGTTGTTCTTGTCTCCCAACACCTGCTGTGTTCCTTGGTTGCTTTCCTTTGTGTCCTCTCCTCCCTGCCTCTTTCTGTTCCCCCTTTGGTCCTTGTTTCCTTTCCCCTTTTCTCCTTTTGGCCCCGCCTTCTTCTTCTTCTCCTCTTCTTTCCTTCTCTTGTTGTAGGTCTCTGGCAGCTCTGGCATCTTGTATCTGTCCTCTCTCCATCCCTCCTCCTCCCTCAGAACTTCTCCTCCCTCCTTTGCATTATGCTTCCTTGCCTGTTCTTTCTTGATTCTACTATATTGTTGGGCGTAGTATTCTGTCATCTCTTCTTCCTTTTCTGGGATTTCGTAGGAGTTTTCTGTGAGTGGGATGTCATCGCATCTTGTCTTGACTTCCTCTCTCACGTAGGCCATAAGGCCCATATGCAGTTCGAACATACGAGCTCTTTGGGCCTTCATGGAGTGAATGTAATCTTTGATCTTCTCTATGGGTCTATTTTTTCAGTCTCCTTCCTCTTGGCCTTTAAATTCCTCTCTCGTAGTTCTTTCGAAGGTGTCTTCCTTTGTGAATTCCTCCCCCTTTCTTTTGATCTTGATTTTTTGTCCTCTAACATTTCCACATTGTGTTCCTGTCCTTCCCCTTGCTCTGTGGTTGTTCCTCTTCCCTGTCCCGCTTTTGTGCTTCCTTTGCGTGTGTACTGGATTATCGAGAAGCCTGTTGTATTGTTCTCTGTTTGATCAGTCAGCCTTTCGTGCTCCTTTCTTTCTTTTGTTGTTTCCATCCACCTCCTTTCTGCCAGTTCTCCCGTTACATCCAAATCCATTTGTAGATCTCTTAGCCTCCTCTCCTCCTGAACCCTTTCCTTGTTTAGTACCTGATCAGTGATAAAGATTTTGGGTGATTTCTTACCGATGTTCTTGGTCTGCCAGCTGCTATCTGATGGGGGGTAGATGTCCGGCCTCGGAGTGGGCTCTCCTTCCAGAACCCATACCCAGTCCGATGTTTCAAGATTGTCGTTGAATACCCATCCGATGTACTTCAAGTCCCTGGCAAACCAAAAGCCAGGCTCGCCCTCCACTTCCTCTAGGCTGGTCTGTTTCATAGTTCTGCTCCTTGCTGAATCTGTGTTTTGGGGGCATTTTGGGTCAGTTCCCAGGTGACCTCTCTGTCCACATTTGAAACACTGAGGGTTGTTCTTGGTCGACACAGTGACTTTCAATGTTTGGCCCCTGACCACGAAGTACCAGGACTGCGCCCTGGGTGTTCAGGCATTTCATCATGGTGTCGTGTTGGGGAATGAGCAAGTCAGGTGTGGGGGTAATCCAGTCCATGGCAGGGAATTGACCGTACTCATCCTATAACTTGCCTTGATGGCTCCATGTAGTCCCTCCCGTACACCGTCGAACTGAATCCAGAAATACTGCTGCATCAGCGACTAACGAATACCTGGGTCGTTTTGGAAGGCGCCTAGGGGTACTCGAAGACCAATGACGAGTTACAGGTGAAGGATTTGTGTTTGAGAAAATCCGCAAATTTTTCGTCTTTGCAAACCACCATGATGGTGTTTCTTCCCCTATTGTGAAAAGTAACTTTTGGATTTGTTCCCGGGATCGGTTCCATGCCCTTGAGCTTTTCCCATAACCACTCCAATTTTTCCTCTCTGTTGAGTTCCTGGCTCTTCTTGGAGAAGGTGAAGAGGACTGCGTGTTTGGCGTATAATTCATCAAGACACGGCAGTGCTTCCTGCGGATACTCCCATATCACCACCTCCTCCTTGTTTTCATTCCCCACTTCGACTAATTCCGTTCTTTTGATCATTTCTGCCTTCGTTTTCTCGGCCAACCAGTTCTAGGTTTCCATTCCCAGTCCCTCTTTCGCCATCCTTACCCTTCCTGCATTCCTCTTCCCTTTCTTTCTTTTGTTCGCGATTGGCTATGGGTTATTTGTTTCAGTGCTCCCCCACTGTTGTTGATACCCTGCCTCCTGGAGTGCTCTGTGTGATCCTCGGTCTTCTGTCACACAGGTGCTGTATTGAGAATAGAAGAGTGATTGCTGGTTTATCTGAGGGTCCTGAGTGGGAAACTGGTAAAGGCTCGACTGTGGAAAGGGGTTAGGCCGTACTGGTGTCACTGGCAGAAGGCCGCTGCTTCTGGTTGTTTGCGGGCGAGACTATGTTCCGTTGAGTTATCCCTCTGGGGGACGTGGTGAGGGATCTCACTTTAATCTCCTCAAGCGGGGGGGATTAAATGCGCTGATGTAGGGTGATGTGGGGGAGGAATGATTCGGAGGGCCGCGTCCAAGTGGTGGTGGTTGGTCACGGTGTTGTGTGCTTGTCCCGCGGAAGTCCGTCGGTGCTGGTGCTAGGTCGTGATCCGTCCGTCTGCCTCGGCGTTGGTGAGCATTGGTTGATACAATGTCTAGTCTAGCTTGGTCGCCTGCGTAATGATGCCCTACTCCTGTCTGTTCGAGTATGCTCATGCTCTTCTATGGACTGAATTTTATTTCCTACTCGAGCTACCTGAATCCCTCTTGAGGGATCGTAAAAATTAGCAAAATGTGTATTCTCCTTTCGCCGTAATGTCCTTTCCCCTTGTCAGTGCGTACGACCGGTTCCCGATTAATGCTGACTCCTCCGCCTTCTCTTCGTCCTTGTCGCTTGTGGGGCCGGTCCACCCGTTTTCCTCGCTTCTGCAGGCTGGTGTTTGAGAGTTGGAGCGATCTTACCTCACTTTCTCACCGCGTCTTGTTCGTCCTTGTCTTAATGTCCTTGACGCTCTACTTGATTGGTCTGCAGTGTTTCCTCTGCCACTCCTCTTCCCTGTTTCCGGATATTTCTCCGTTCCGTCCCACTCCTCCTCTTTCTGCCTTGTTTCTTTCCGTTGTTGGTAAGTGTGGCTGCGTTGTCCCTTTCCCCTTTTCACTCCTTTTTGTTTCTTACTCTTGGCAGCTTCCTCTACTTCTTTCTTGTTAACCCACACTCTCTCCTCGCTAGGGCTTCCTCTCATGGTTCCTCTCCCTCTCTCTTCCCCTCTCCTCTCCCTTCTTACTGTACCTGTGCCTCACCCTGTGACTGTCCCTGTGCCCCGCCCTGGGGCGTGGCGTGGGATGTCTCCCCGGGGTGTGGTCCCCCCTTCGTTGGGTCTGGGTGGCCTGTCCCTTTCGTGGTTTGAGCTGTGGATTCGGCTATGGATTCAGCGGCGCGTCGCACGATGACGCGCGGATTCAAAGCTTTCGCTTCGTACCCTTCGCTCAGCGGCGATGGCGCGCGGGCGCCTGGTTGAACTCCCGCGTGAGCGCGATAACTCCGTGGTACCGATGGCAGCATCGGCCTAGCGCTTACCGAAGCGGCGCTAGCGCTACCTCCACCATTCCCTTACTTAAGTTTGAGACTACCGATTTTTTTTATTTTTTTTTAACACATTGGTTGCTCCGGTCTACTGGTGGGGAGCAGCACCTGCTGGAAAACGGGTCCAGATTCCCATAATACAATCAAAATTTGAACTTTGCTGTGTAAACCTGTCCCAGCATTGATTGCCCGGGTCACCGAGGATTGACTGTGCTACCGATCTGATCTCAATTACCAGCCAACTGATGGACCAGGTGATTCAGATTTACCATTTATCTCATTCCTTTGATTCCATCAGGACTCCAACTCAGGTCTGTTTATCAACAGTTGCATTGTCGGGTGTACCATTCGGACACCTGGGTTGGCTTTGTGACAGTTTCAATCCCTCTTTCGCTTTCAAGTTTCTACTGCTCATTACTTTACCGAGGGTTTAGGGTTTCAGACGCTCATGGCTTCTCACACTTACCTAGGGTTTAGGGATTACTCCAGTGACACGGATTATGTGTTCGCTTGGTACAGGTGCAGCACCGTGCATGCCCACACCTGGTTCGTGCTCCAGGTAGCCATGGGTCTGCAAAAACCCCTATCAGATAATAAATCCCATATCAGATATATTTCTATATTTTTATTATTTTATTTATTGCTAAGAATTTTAGCAGGAATGTTTAAAGTTTAAAGTTTAAATCACCAGTGCCTGAAAAATATGGCGGAATGGTACACTCATGTAACTGTTGATAAACAGACCTGAGTTTGAGTCCTGGGGCGTGGTCCCACTAGCGAAGACGATCGGATCGAATGCTTGAATCTGGACGAGTTTATGGAGATGTGCAGGACATGAGATTGAACTGCGTTTCTGCATCTCTGTCTAAAACACATCCAGATTCAGGAGCTCAATCCTATCCTTTTTGCTAGTGGGACCTCGGCCCTGAATCCTGATAGAATAAAGTAACTCAAGATAACGCACAACCGTTATTTAAAAAAAGAATAAAGTAACTCAAAATAGCGCACAACCGTTATTAAAAAAAAAAAAAAAAAAAAAAGAACTTCAGCAGAAAGTTTAAACCACCAGCGCCACTCCCTCTCCCAATCATTTTGTTTCGGCGCATTTGTATGCCACTCTGATTCTCTCTCGGTGGGTTCGGTCGGCCAGCCAGATAGATCTCTTTGGCTGGCAGCGCCAGCCAAGAAAAAGGGAAAATGAAATGCACCGCACCGGTTCGTTTTTTTTTTTGGGCGCACAGCTCAAATCCGCCTCGGGAAAAAGAGGCTAGGAGGTATCGGTGGATTGAGAATCGAAGATAGAATTTGAAGTTCAGGTAAGATCAACTGAAAACTTAAAAAGTTTTGGACTTAAAAAGTTACAGTTGTTCGATTGCGATGAATCATCCCAGAAGCTCTCTTGGTGTACTTCAACTTCTTTAAGGAAGCTAAAGTGAAATCCAATAAAGCAAGTTTGCCAAAAAAAAATAAATTCCAATAAACCGGTTGCTCATTTGCTGCACGTCGCTTTACTTACGACATCATATCAAATTGAATTCCTTTCTTTTCTGGTCTTTCAGGTTTTCATGCCTGCCGGTTCATTGGCTAATGATCTGGAAATGTTACCTGATGAGAAGGTAGTTGAATTTGTGATGTCCAAGCTACGCTGTATGTTCCCAAAGGCGCCAGTTACGGATCCGGTAAGAGGAGTCCCATCCCTCCTCCACCCTCTCCCTTCCTCCTATCCCCCTACTTTTGCTTGTATTTGTGTTCTTTTATTTTGGTAGGCTTTAGCCTCACAGACAAACAGACACACACACACACACACACACACACACACACACACACACACACACACACAAAGTCCGATGAAACAGTCTGCTACAGTCATGTGTTATGATCCTGGTCATTCTCAAAGTGCAGATTCACAATGAAAGACAATGCCACCCAATTGCGAAAGAAATGAAAGCACTTGCAAAGAGATAGAGACCAAAGAAGAGAGAAAGAAGAAGAAGGAGGAGGAGAAGAAGAAGAAGAAGAAGATGTACACCAGCAAGACCAATGACAAATCCCCCCTTCTCTCTCCACCTTCCTCCTCCTTCGTCACTTCACCAATCTTATTCTTCTTCCAATAATAATAATAACAATGAGTGGATGAACCAGAATCAATATCCGAAGTTCCCTCTTACTGCTGACTCAACAACAACAACAACAACAACAAGTCCACCATAGCTATGGCTTCCCTCCTTCTTCCTCCTCTCGCATGCCTAGGCTATGGCGGACTACTGAGGGCCCTGCCCTCTTGTCCAAAGGACAACCCAAAGCAGCTATGGCGCTGCACTCCTGTCCAAAGGACAACCCAAAGCAGCTATGCCGCTGCTGACCAAGCCGCCATGCCTGACTCTGCCTCGAGCTTCCTTGGTGCGGCACTACCCCAACTGGGGCCTTCCAGATGCAGCGCCCAACAAGGTGATGAAGATGGTGTCCACCATCGCCAGGTAGGTGCCTCGCCATCTCCTCCTTCGCCCCCTTCTTCCTCCTCCTCAGGCTGGGCTGCTCGCCATAGCCAGGCTGAGCGCCCAGCTGCCCTTCACCTCCAGGCAGCGCTGTACCAGTCCAGCGCTTCGCTCAGCAGCATGTCGCCAATCCTTGCATACCGCAAATGAGGAGGAGCTACTTGCTCCTCCGGAAGATATAGCGGCCTACTGGCCTCTTGGGCGGTGACTTCCTAGGCCGAGCGGCCTCCCAGCAACCGGTACCTCCTCCCTTTCAGAGGGAAACATCATTGCAGGCTCTGCTATCGTCCGGACAGGCCCTAGACCCGGGCTACTTGGACTGGTACCGGCCTACCTCTAGCCTACCGCTACTGGGCCTCTAAAAATGCCAACCTTTTGTCTTCTTCTGCTCGGCCTCCAGTACCCGACACTTCTACCACTAGTTGAGTGGTACCGGCCTACCTGCTACTTGAGTGTTTTTCCCCTCTGCTCTAAGTGTCGTGGGCCTACCCCCGCTACTTGAGTGTTTTCCCCGCTGCAACCCTCGAAGTCATGGCCACAGGTAATTACCGGCCCTGCGGGGCCTTTCAACCAACGAGTACCCTTGCGGGTCACACACACACTCAGCCGACAAACACTCAGACAGGCATGCAAACCAGCAGGCACGCACACACACACAGACATGGAAAACACAGCAGAATGCGGGAATCTCAGCAAGGCATTCATTCCAGCGGCAAATCCCAGAAATCAGCAGTGTTCTCAGTCTGTGTTGTTGGCGGGTCATTACACCAGTCACCTCCACGTCTCGATTGCCCACCCTCTCAATATATACGAACAGATACCACTTCAAACCCCCAAAGACTTCGCTTCTTCCACCGTACTTTTTTTTTTTTTTTTTTTTTTTTTTGGTAAAACAGAACCGTACGGTTCTGGCTCCTTTTCCATTCTGGGGAGCGTCAGTCCGGTTCCTATTCCACCGGCAAGTCAGAAATGATTACAATGGGTACTCACACATGCTCCTCCCCCTTACGGTAGGAAGGCCCAAAAGACGGCATTGATTACTTCCCAAGGAAGGATGTACCACCCTTCACCCCTGCCTAAGTTAGCCTGCTTGACGTACTCTTGGACTTGGAAGACCTCTCAGATTTATGGACCTGTCTTGTAATTGCTGAGGAACTTTCTATATGGGCTGACTCTAGCTTTTCCTCTCACTGACAGCTGTATGGCTGTCGGATCTGTGTGTATTGCTGGTAGAGCTAGTTCAGCCTTCATCTGCGCCCTTGTCTAAGGCCCTAATCTTACCTTTCTATGCACTGTTACAGTTGTGCTCTTTAGCCTTATACTGTGTTTTGGGCTTCTATTTTTGACAAGATGCTTATCCTTCCAACGCTGAATCCTAAACCCTCATCCCTTAACTACTTATGAAGGGGGGTATAGTGTCGGGGGAAGGATGTTGGGAGAAATGAGGAGCGTAATAGGTGCGGGACAGCCAAGTGGGGGTGGTATAAATTTTGGGTGGGGTGGGGGATGGAGGGGTGGGGGGTGCTGGAGGGCCTGTAAGGCTGTCTGGACCATTTGTTTTTATTTTTCTGGGGAAGTGAGGTTGAGTGAGGGATGGTGCGGGGACTGTGGGTGGGGAGAGACTGGGTTATACGGTGTGATGTGTAGTGAGGGGGTTGGAATGAATGTGTAGGTTTGATTGTGACAGGGGATGGATCGTTGGAGGGGGGTGAGGTGGGGCCGTAATCTGCGCTGGTGGTAGTGTGAGCCAGTTTTTGAGGGCTAAATAGTCGTTTTCTATTTCTCTTAAAATGCCTGATCCTAGTTTAGCAGTTGAGAATTTGTGAATTAAAGCAGTTTTTTCATTGGGGTCACTGTTTATTTGTTTTAGAGTTTTGGTCCAGAGAATATGTAACTCCGTTTCTATTGTATGTTTTATTGTGTTGAGTGGGTTCTCGGGTGTGATAGGACTATCGCCAAAGGTTAGTTCACACCTTCTTTTCCATAGGCCCAAGATGATTCCCTTCCTGATAAGTGTGAAGAAGAAAGCCTCGAAACCTTTGAGGGGTGGGTTCTGATTGGCGTCGAGGAAAATTGTGGCGGGACTTATCGTGGCGGRCTTGTCAGAGAAGGATTTCCTTATGTTTTCCATCTCTTGCCATATGATTCTGGCTTTTGGACAATCGATGAAGCAGTGGTTAAGTGTTTCAGGTCTTTGTTGGTTGCAGGCTTTGCACCAAAAGTCTTGCTCGGTTCGGTTTGCCTTATTGCGCCTTTGTGCCAACCATTGGTTGACTGGCACTTCCGTGTATGCGATTAACCAAATTAGACTGGCTAGTCTGACCGGTTTAGTGCAGAAAGTTGATGACCATGGTATGGTTATTTGTGGGTCTGTTATAGTCGGGTCTTCTTTCGTCCATCTTTTTTGCAGGATATTGGTTATTGAGATGGGTTTGGAAAAAAAGGTTGTAGCCTAGTCTGGGGGTGTAGTCAGTTTTTTTTTTTTTTTTTTTTTTTTTTCAAAAAACAGGGCCTTATGGTCCTAGCTCCTTCTATTGTGGGGAGCGTCAGTCCGGTTCCTATTCCACCGGCAAGTCGAAATAATCATTATGTCAAGAACACTTACACACGCTTCCTTCCGTCAGGGGGGGTGTAGTCAGTTATTTTGTGAAGCCGTGGTATAGTGGCTCCATGGATGGGGGTGCTCCAGGTCCATTCTGTCGTGTCTATTTCTAGTTCTTGTATACTTGACCATGGTTTGAAAACCTTGTTTCTTTCCCCTTCAATAACTCTTACTCTTCGCAGGGTACTTGTTTTGAAGGTGCCTTCTGCTCTGCTTTCTTCGTTAAACCACCAGTACCTCGCTCAGCTATTGAATCCGAGCCTCCCRGCACGCTGCGCGCCARGTCCTGCCGAACCGCCGTCGCAATTTTCTTTTTCGTTTTGCCTGCGGCCTCCAGCCAATGCGGTCCGGCAGGCCGAAGCCCAAATGGCGCGGCGCGTATACGGGAAGCGCCGCGGCCGATAGCTGGGCCAGGTACTGGTGGTTTAAGGTAGCTTGCTGGATTTAATCTGGTTCCTTGAGAGGAAAAATGTCGCAGCAAATCCAGTTGCTATTCTGATTGTCATAGTTTTTGAATCCGAGAACTTCCTGAACGTCTCCCCGGTCCTTTATTGAGGCCCAGTCTCCATATTGCCATCTCTGTTCTGATCGTAGTAGGCTTCTCCATTGCATGGGAATGCTTTCTATGATCTGATTAATGTTCGTTTGCAGGTGGTGTAAGCCCTTCGGGGTTGGCCTGAGTTCCTTCTCGGATTTCCATTCCTTTGCTGCCTCGTTCCAGCTATGTTGGATCTGCCATACTCCTCTTTCTACTCAATGTCCCCTCTTCCACCATACTACATAACACAGCTGGTTTCCTAAATATTTTTTGAAACAAAATTTTAAAAATCATAACTGGTGTCCTATCCAGCTCTCGTAAGTATTACATATCTACCACTCGCCGCTAGTTCGCCCTCATTATCACCCCTCTCACAGCTGCCTTGGAGACCGCTACACCCGTCATCCGGGCCGGCACCAGGACTCCTAAACCCTGAGCATGAACAGCAAATCATGAAAGCACTGCAGCGATTCGCATCCGTTCCATCCACCCAACTTGGACCTGCTGAGACCAACCGAAATGGTCTCTATATTTTTTTATTTTTTTTTATTTTTTATTTTTTTTAAATGCACAATATCAAATGGATTCTTTCGACCAACTGAAAAGAAGTGTTCGACTCGAAAGTCATTCCTGCGTGCATGTCTGTAGGCTCTGTACAGATCAGGAAGCGTGTTTTTTTTTGTGTACTAGTCGGAGTACCAGCGCATTGTGTGCCATCTCATTCGGCATTGTCCCGTTGTTTGTCTGTTTTTTTTTTTTTTTTTTTTTTTAATGTTTGGGGCATTCGTGTGCAAAATGGCCCTTCCCTCCACAGGAAGAGCACGCATGGGAGAAGCAATGGTCGATCCATGTTGAAGATACAAATGACGTGGACCAGCGAATTGTGTGCCATCTCCTTTGGGCATCGTCCCGGTATCTTTTTTTTGTTCTTTTTAAATTTGTTTTTATGTTTGGGGCATTCACGTACAAAATGGCCCTTCCCTCCACAGGAAGAGCACATATGGGAGAAGCAATGGTCAATCAAGGTTGAAGATACAAACTACATGGTTTGAATGCATCTTCCCGAGGATAGCGGGAAGATGCATTCCCGTTTCGTTTTGGCTACACTGGATAGAAGCACCGTAGTTGTATCCTCAACATTGATTAACCATTGCTTCTCCCATGTGGTGAACAAGCCAGTTTCACAAGCACGTATAGCTAAAGAAAAACCGGAAAGCAATGCCCTCACCGTCTCATCAAGAGATGGTCTGACGGCAAACGGAAGAAGAAAAGTACCTGACGTACGCACTTCACATGATATAGACCTCCGGTTTCGTTTGAACACGATGTGGACCCCACCAGTGCCTTCATTGTACCAGACAATCATTCTCAAGAATCTAAACAGAACCCCAGACTCATCAAGCGGGACCGCAATATGAAGGACAACCGTCATGACTACTGCAAGGAAAATGAGCAATGTGAAATACAGAAACCAAACTGCATCATGCCAGAGAAATCCAGCTAATCATGTGCACGAACTGAAAGCAGATTGCACCATGCGAGATATACACCAAATACGCAAAAGAGCATATCAACACCGATTCGGAAGTCAAATGGTAATGAAAGCCGACTTCTCGCCTCCTTCACCACTATCCACAATCTCGCTCTCCGAACTGGCGCTTGGATCTCGGACTACAATCAGACAGCACCTATCGACCTATAGACTCTAATGACAGCTGCCACAGGTCTTCGTGAAGCGCACCAGCCCGATGACAAATGACGACTCCGACTGTAGCGGCCCACTCATCACACACGGTTCCAGAATTACAAAGTGAGTAGCTAGACCAGCCAGCCAGAATTTTACGAAGTGATTAGCCTTACTTCCTTTTGTGTTGACTGGCTCGGCGAGGCAGGCTCGGGATGCTCGGCCTGTGTCCCACTATCTGGGCCCAGGGCGCTTTCCAGAATGTGCCTGGGGATCAACTGTAAGTGTCCTGGGCCTCAGCATCTTCGCTGGGCCCAGCGTCTTCAACCAATCGGGCCTACCGGCCGGTTGCAGATGCTGCTTTCAGCAACCAACCCACGTGGGGATCAACTGTAAGTGCCCTGGGCCTCAGCATCTTTGCTGGGCCCAGCATCTTCAACCAATGGGGTCTACCGGTCGGTTGTAGATTCTGTGTGCTGCCCAGCATGTCTTGTGTGTGTGTGTGTGTATCCACATACCGGCCGGTTGCAGATGCTGCTTTCAGCAACCAACCCACATGGGGCTCAACTGTAAGTGCCCTGGGCCTCAGCATCTTCAACCAATGGGGTCTACCGGTCGGTTGTAGATTCTGTGTGCTGCCCGGGATGTCTTGTGTGTGTCTGTGTTGTATCCACATGCCAAGTCGAAGTCGAGTGTGGTAGTGTAGTGTAGAGTAGTAAGTGAAGTCTAGCGTAGTAGCATAGGACAGGAAGTAGAAGTCTACAGTACAGAGTAGCATAGGGGCGGGTCTTCAGCAACCAATCCACAAGGCTCCTTTCTGCTCACATTCGCCTCAGAGGCTCAGAAAGGCCGCCTTCACTTAGGGCGGGCACAGACAGTTTCCGTTGGGCGCAGGCCCTTCCCAACCTAGGCCGAGGGCCTCTTGCTTTGCACTACTGTCTTCACCTGAACAGAACATATGGTCACCATCGCTGCATCTAGACTGAAAAGCTATAATGACCATACCGTTCTTTTTGGGGAAAGACGGTGTGAACCAATCAGATCACGATCATCACCCCAATCCACGAAAACGCTCAGGCAACAACATGAAAAGCCAGCCCTACATTGATCCAACAAATCTTTACAGAAGATTACCTTTTTTTTCCCTTTTTTTTCATCCTTGATTACTTGGCATTTGATTGATTTGATTGATTCGATTGATCCGATTTGATGTGATTTGATTGATGTGCAATCTGTATTTATCCGTTGGTTGGTTGGCTGGTCTGTTGGTTGTTTGGTACATTATGCGGTGGTTCTGGGGATGTGGTTGGCGATGATTTACAGTTGCAGTATCGTGTGACGCGATGGGGCACTGATGAGGACTCGCTTGGGTGCTATTCGTACGACAAGGTTGGTCTGTCAGAGACCAATATGGAGGCGCTCGGGCAATCTGTGGGGCCTCTGTTCTTTGCAGGGGAGGCGATGAGTGATTTCATGGGCACGGTGCATGGGGCATTCTCATCAGGTATACGAGCCGCAGAAGAATGTCGAGCCCGGTGCGCCGAGAAGTACATGGCCCTTCAATTAGCTCTGCCGATGACCGCTGCTTCAGAGATGGACAATCTCAAAGACAAGCGAGCCACTAAGCACTTGCCGCCGCTCATGGTGTCGCGCTTGGCTGTCGCCTGACCAACGAATTTATTGTATATGCACCGCACTGCATTCAAAAAAAAAAAGAAGAAAAAGAACAGGAGAAGCCGATGTATTTTATCTGCACAGCACCACAGGTTAAAAAGAAAGGTGATTTATTTTATGTGCACAGTGACGGGGGCGGCCTCCGTCAGCAGTGGAGCTTTTCTGGAAACACTGTGGTCGGCGAGAAGCACATGGCATCTGTAAGTTGTGACTACTTCTGCAGGCGAGCACTACGAAGCACTTGCCGCCTCTCATGGTGTCGCATTTGGCCATCTCCTGACGAAGCACTGGAGCTTGGAGAAACGCTGTGGTCGGGGAAAAAGTACATACTACATGGCATTTGTAAGTTGGAACTACTGCTGCGGACGAGCACTACTTAGCACTTTCCCTCACGCATGGTGTCGCGCTTGGCCATCGCCTGACGAACCAATTTATTTTATACGCACTGCACTGCATGTAAGATTAAGAAACGAACAGGCCGATATGTCCCTCAGGACATCTTATCCGCTAAAGTTGGAAGGATACAGAGAAGATTAGCATAGCCCCTGGGCCAAAAAAGGGGGGAAAAACAGAGAGAGAAAGAAAAGAACAAAAAAAAGCAGGCCGATATATCTTATGTTCACAGCACCACACACGTAAAGAAAAAAGGTTGATTTATTTTATGTGCATAGTAACGGGATCTGCCTCGGGAGCTTCTTGAAAGACGGGGGTATGGCTCTACTGCAATTTTTGTGGCAACGCCCACGGAAAAGGTGGTGGCTGGCTTACAGCCATATTCCCATGTATGTAAAATAAGTTAAAGTTGTGTTAAACAAATGACAAAATTAGACAAATGTGTATCTTGCTTTACTATCTTGTAAATCAACAAAAGGAGATTGTGAACACATTTTACTGCTTCTGAACATGTCTGTCAGGCTGCTTTGATCATTAGTAGGTCATGTAGGGACCAGTGTCCTCCTGTCTGACAGTCCTGCTGGCAGAGAGGGATGCTTTCTACATGCCTTCTGCTAACTTCTCTCTCTCTCTCTCTCTCTCTCTCTCTCTCTCTCTCTCTC